GCGGTCACCTTCCCCGTTCTTGTTAGTGGAAAGACAGGAAGATTTTCTGTATAAGATGTCACTACCTAGGCTGTACAAGTATTTCTTGAAAAGTGTGTCAAGTCACCTAAACGTCTAACTGACAGGTAAAAGGTAAGCAGGTATCAGTAACTGAGAAAGTCAGATATAAGTATTTCTTCTACGAAACACCATATCATAAAGCAATCTGGCAAACGTTAGAAGACATAATTGTGTTAATAATATTAAGAGGAGATCAATAAATACTTGAAAGAGAAAAAACGGTGGAAGAGTGCTTATCATCTCATCCACATATACATACACTCACATCTATTTGGGTATACAGACACACACAAAATGCCCTCTAGCTGATAAGCAACAAAGTGCAATGCCACCCAGTAAGAACAGTAATATTTTAGAGGCAATGAAAAAATTCTTAATTATCCTAAAACCACAGTGCTCACAAATGTTGGGCTCATTTCATGCCACAAGATAACAGATTTTCAACTACATCTCCAAGTATAAATAACAATTGAGAGCCTATTATAAAAAAGTATATAATCTAAACGCTGATTTTAATTTTTCTTTAAGTGGAAATATGATTTTTACTCATTCATGTGTGCAACATACTGCGAAACGTACAATCTGTAAGCATATGGAATAACCTCATTTATATTTACAAAGCAAACAGTTATTCGCTAGGAATTTTTCTTAGGCACAAAGCACTGTGTGCTAAGCTGACTTCCAATTTAATTTGCTTTATCTGTGGTTACATCCTGGAACTTTTGAAGGAGCTTACACCCACAGAATTTGAGGGACAGAAGTGCTTTGGGCCTCCATGCTTTCTTGAGAAGTCCACTGTAGCAGCATAAGACTGAAAAAAAATCCATCACCATGTGAATAAGAAAACCACTAGTGCTCCTAGCAAAAGAAGGAAAAAGAAAAACTCCCTCAATTGCAAAGTCAGCCCTCTCAACCATCCCTCAAGATAAGCTTTGAAACACACCTTGGTCACCATATACAAGCAGGTTAAGAAAACACCTTTCCCGTATTCCCACCATTCACACAGAAGAGTATGGTTTGGCACATAACAGGAGAAAGACAACAAGTGCTACTGTTGATACCAAAACACACAGGAGTAAGCCTAAGGAAAAATACTACACCTTTTTTGGCCACCAAGGGACAAACACATGTTCCAGTTGTACAAAAAAACCTTTAAGCTTTCCTTGGCTTCATAGATTTTTTTTTTTTAAATATTTAAAATGCATATTAAAACTTTTCCTAAGCAGCAATATAATTATCCTTTCAGAACAAAGCTTCAGTGCAACTCAACAGCTTTGGAAACTCCTGATTAAAGCAATCACATTGCTACCAAGAAAGGAAAGCCCTGCCATCTCTGATAAAAAGGCAGAGTTCAACAATTTAGTCCTCTTCACTTAAAAGTACATTAAAGTATCTATTAAAGTAACGGCAAAGCTCTAATTTATACTGCAGAATAATTAGGCTTTCACTTCTTGCATTTGTTTTTTTAATTGTATTTTCTTCTCTAAATAAAGGAAACTGCTGCTGCTGTATGAGAGAAAACTTGTTTAGATGCTATAATGTAAAATTGCAGGAGTGGCTGTACATAAAAGTATTTCCAAATGCACACAGAAAAAACTAGGAGACGAAAACATTTTTCATGTTGACTTCTCTAGAGATATTTTCCACATCATGCACAACACTGATTAATAAATTATTTCAGAGAAAAAGTATGAGACTTAATTTGACATTAGCCTTCAAAACCAGCTAAATAGCTGAGCCAAATCAGCATTATGTTTGGCAGCAAGAGGAGCTAACACGTAAGTCACCAACTCTCAGGCCTAACAAATAAGTCACTTAAATGAGAAAGTGTTTGCAGGAACAGAGTTTTACTGCCTGAACAAATCACTAGTCATGCTTTAAAGAAGCTTCTCCTTTAAAATGATAGGGTACTTCCACTTTTCTTTGTTCTCAAATTGAAAAAAGAATTACTATCTAACTATTCATTTTACAGGTCTGTTTACTACTCATTAACCATTTTCACTATGTTCAGATATCAGTTAGACAAACTCTAAAAAAAAAAGAAATGATGGGATACAGAGCACTCCTCATTTGAAGGTATAAACACCACATCACAACGGTGTACAAAGAAAGATATGGAAACCTATTCAGCAATTACACCTGGTCTGGTCATATAGACAAAGCTTATAATGATAAAACCTGTCTGTTTATATGTCTATCATGAACCTTTTTCAGTTGTTAGTTACTGCAGTCTTAATTGTTAAGGATTGATTTTGACCTCCGTGATGGAAGAACCTCAGTGACAGATCTGAGATAAAAGTACACACCTGAACAGCTTATCTCCATTTGTAAATGGATATTAAATTATGAGATTGCTTAATCACTTGTCTGCAATAAACAAGTCAAGAACACACAGGTGAAAAAAAATGGCTAGTATCTAAAAACATCTGAATGCAATAGGGGGAAGAAGCCTCTTCCTAGTTTTTCCCCAGCATTTCATGACAGGAACCAGGAGAAAAATAAAAATCATGACCAGGAACACATCCCTTAGCTTACAAGTGAACCTGTAGCAATGGACTTCATTCTGTATTAAGTAGATAAAGAGTACATTAGAATACACCCAGTTCAAGAAAGACAAATCCTTCTTTTATTGCAACAAATCTATATGGCAACACTACACTTAAAGACCATAGCAAATTACCTCGTTTCAGGTGCATTCACTGAAACATAGGAGATCCTTCTAAAAGACACTGCTTCCCAAACTCTGGAAAGCCACCAATGAGAATAATTTTAAAGAGTCTGAAGTTTATTTAATTTAAATCAGTTTAAGGGTTGGTTTTTTTTTTTAAAGAAAAGAAGTTTCTTTCCCAACAAATACTTCCTTTAGTTTTTATTTCTAAGTGATGCCAATGCAAGGACAGTGTCTGGGAAAAGGGCAAATTTCAAGCTTCAGTTATTTGTTACCTTAAAAAAACCCAATAAAAGTCTTGGCACTTTGACAAAAACAATGTAAATTATAAACTTCTTCAGAGGTATAGAAGACTTTATAAATTACAAAATCAGCACGACAAACACTTATAGCCAATGGTTTCTGAACCTCTGCAAGTACGCCTGACAGTGCTATGAACGTCAGTTTGTCTTCATCCAGTCAACACTCTAAATTGCTTTACCAAGTGACACAGACGTTTCCAAGAGACTTTTCTTTCTGTCTTGTCTGAATCTGTGCAATTTAAAAGCAAGAAACAGTCATCTTTGTAGCCTGCCCAAACTACCAAGCCAACATATAACAAGCCAATAAACGACCTGTGTTCAAACAGATATAAATAATGACCTAACTATTTGGGAAGGCTTTTTTACAATCAAAATAAAAATCATTCCCCCCACTCCCGGGAAAGAAATATTAGGGCAGAAACCAATTGCAAAACTCTACATTTAGAAGCACAGTTTCCCCTTCCTCTCCCCATACAACTTGATCAGTACCGTTATGCAGGTAACAAAACCAGGCATGAATCGTAAGTTCTGCAAGTTAAAAATCATTACAGCTGCATTTCATTCTTTTCACTTCCAGTCAGCATCTCGTATATGGACAAACTTTATTTGAAAAGAATTTTCTAAAACTTACCATATATATGAAAAGAGGCACAATGCTCTGCAATGCTCCCATATACTGTCCAAGAGCTACGTTAAATCTTTCAATATAGAGATCTGGAGGGCTGGCCTGCAAGAAACCGTAAAAGTCAGGTTGTAATTTGAACACGAGAAAGATCTGGAACAGCATGGGCTATGCTTTCATAGCAAACTCAAAAAAACTACAAAGTATTTGATACACTAAGTCCACACAAAGCAAGCCACACATCATTCCAGAGTTTCTGCTATAACTCCCTCCAGCAAAAACAGTTTTCTTCAGTAACTGTTTTTTTGCCTAGGTCTATATGTCAGTGCCCAGCAAAAGGTCCATTGAATAAGAAATACAGGACGCCTGTAACAAACTAGCATTTAGCATATGCAAAGAAACACACTTATTAAAGACCAGACCTTCGTTTTGAAAGAACTATCTGTCACGCCTAAAATCCATAACTAAATTTCAACAAGTGCTGCAGTGTGCTCCAGCCCCCCTGCAGGCTTTTACTCCAAGACAGCAGGGCAGCATTAAGCTGCTGCTTTGCACCTGAGCTGGCAAGTGGCACATCCTCCAGCTCCAGGGAGCACTGTCCTTCACAGAAAACATTTTTAAGTTTTTGCTGGGTCACCTAAGGCAAGGCAAGGATTCAGGGTGCTGAGTTGGAGGGACTACGAAGCAATGGCTTCAGATAGAGCCCTGCATCTGGCATCCTGCACTCCAGATCAGGCCCACAAAAATCTATTGCAGTACTCTAACACACAGCATTACCCTGTAGTCCCAAGCAAAACTTTGCTACACAAAACCTGAACACGTCGACTTTATGATAGGCCTTGCAGAGCCCACAGTGACAGCACTGCTATTTTCTGTGTACAATACCATTTTTCCCAAAGAAGGAAATAAGGGAGCTAAAAAAATCCGTTCCGCAGCAAGCTAAGTTAAATTGAGAAGGGAACCAGAAAAATGGGAAGCACTAACCACCGTTTCTTTTATAAATATTTATTCGGAGGGATGCAGGGGAGCTGTGTTAGAGCCTTCAGGAGTGCACTTACACACCCAGGGATGGAAGTGGAGCTGGGGTAACGTGTTCCTCCACTATCACCCTCTCCATCCCAACCCACCCACATACAGTGCTCTGCCTCTGGCCAAACTCCTCCTGCTCTCCCTGCTATGGTCTTTTCAGAGGAGGGGGTGGGTAGCTGCCTGAGTTTCTACTGTTCATATACATATACACACCTATACACACCCAAGGACCAAGTGTTGCTTGCTAACAAGAAGCAAAACTTCTCTTCCCTTGCACCATTTTCCTCTCTGACAGCGCCAAGCTGGAAGAGGATGGAGACTGCAGCAGTGACTGGGACCTTGCAAGAAAACAAGCTCAAAGATTTTTCTAAAGCCAAAGCATCTGTAGCATGAGAAACGCTCAAGGCTAGATGCACCTCAACCACCTTACTGGAACTTAAAGCTCTTATCTTTTATGAAGCAGATTTTTCAGCCTTTGTATAGACACTCACCAGGGGCCCTAAGAGAACAGTTAAAATTTATGCTGACTTTTTGCTCTATTAAGTATTCTAAATTTATAAAAGTTTTTTTTTTTCTCCTTTAAACTAGCTTCTTTTGCTTCCCTCCTTAATATGCTTAATGGACACGTGGGTAATTTTCACAGTAAACACCACTACAGAGCAGACGTTTCAGAAAGGAAAGCAAAACTGGCAAAGGAATAAAGAGTGTTATTCCATATGCTGTTGCTAAAGGTTATATATGGTTATTCCTCATTTTGATCTTAAGTTTTTAATCTTATTGCATATGCAGTTCTCAGGGGAGGCCAAACAAATTTTAGTTCAAAATGCCAACACATATAAAAGTGGCTATGAGCTCCAAGGACTCCCTTTCATATATAGTTACATATATAATTTGTTGCAAGTACTATGCAATGAAATCTGCATTTCTAAGCAGTATGTATTCCTGCTTCACTCCTTTTTAACCTCAACTTTAAATATGGTTATACTCTCAGATTTGTAAAGACCTGGTATACAGCTTCTAAGATTAAAGAAAAAGGAAAATTGTACTTCAAAGAACACGTCAGGCAAAAGGAGACCACAGCCTGACACAGGGCACCACTCTTCTCTCACTGACAGTTTGCACTTTTCATTTAAACAAACAAAAAAAACCCAAAAAAAACCCACCCCAACAAACACACACCATTCCCATCCCCCCCAAAAAACCCCACCCAACAAAAACCAGAAGCAGAAGTTGTCTGGACAGTATGTGATTTAATCCCATGAGCAGACTCCAGGCAATGGTATACAGCCAGTCTGCCACCTTTTTTACAGGGGACATTAAAGATTGGTATTTTTACCTCCACTGAAGATGAAAACTCTGCTAGCTCACCTCACAGAGGCTCTGTCACATCAAGAGAGATGTTTTATAGGGAATGACAACTGCACACCCAGCTGTCTGCTGAGAACAACCTCAAGAGTCCTTTAATGGAGGGATACCTGTTGACTACCACCACCTTGCAGCCAGGTGGAAAACAGCTGCTCTACATAAAGACAAAAAAAGCCTAAAAAAGTCCCAACAGCTTCAGGGGAAGCATCAACTAGTGCCAGGCAAATATCAGGCAAATATCAGACCTCTGGAATACAAAATCACAGCATTAACTGCTTTATCAGCACAAGATGTTACCTTTCAGTTTTAATTCAGTTTTAATTTTAATTTTAATTTCAGTTTTAATTTTAATTTCAGTTTTAATTCTCCTGACAGTGTTTCATGTCAAGCCTCAACAGTCAAGAAACTAACAGGAAGCATATTCTACCTGACTTTGCTTGTTTAAGAAGAAAAAAAACCCACCACCACACACACAAAACAAACCACCCCCCCCTCCAAAAAAACCCAACCCTCCTGAATTATTGCTTGACTAGTAAACTAACAAAAAAACCCAAGCCAAAGATAAATCAATAATACTATTTTCACAGCTCATCTATGAATTATCATGATCTGTGTGGGGAAAACAGAACCACCTGTTTTCTGTTCATTAGGATGTTACTGTTTGGCTCCTCACGCTGAACTGCAATCAATAACTTGTTTGAGCACAGGAACCTTCTCCACATCTCTACATTCACATTAATAAGACAGTAACTGGAGTGGGACTAGCTTTATATAAACTACATGAATTTTATAAACTAAAAAGCACTGTGTGGCACCAAATTCATGAGTAAATAGGTTGCTAAGATTTTCCTATTACATGGCCATCATTAGAGTAGAACTTGCATTTAAAATCTGTATTTATCCAGCTATAGCTATTATAAAAGAGGGAAAAAAAAAAAAAAAGAGGAACTGCTTAGGCTGACATTTTTCACCCTTGGTCTTAGTCCAGAAAAGATAACATGTACATTCAGCTGTTTTAATTACAGGGGAGGGGTGGAATTAAGCATGACATTTACTTCTTACAACCCCCCAGAAAATATTAAGTCTCTAAAAATCACTCCTATCTTACCTGAGGGACCTATTACAGAAGCTATTCAAAGAAAGAAAAATATACTGCTAGCCTAAGGTTTTCCAGGAAGGAAGAGGATCCTTCATTCCTTCACTCTCCATCCTGAATCCAATCAAACTGTAAATTCAGTTGTGGGGTTTGGTTTTTTGTGGGGTTTTTGGTGGGTTTTTTTGTTTCTTTGGTTTTTGGAGGTTTTGAGTTGGTTTTTTTTAAGACACTTTATACAGGGAGACAGCTTAAATCCTCTCCTACATTTGCTCTCATCTACCACTCATAGGGTTAAGAACAGTTTTCCAGTAGCAACTCTGCAGTGCTTCTGTCCACAGGAGCACTGAACATTTGGTCAGGCTTCTCAAACTGTGATGTAGTTGCATTTGCTTAACATCTTCAGCTTGGTTTTGAGTCAACTACTTCTTAGCCTAAAATACCATATGGCTGCTGTTAAAATCTGATGTTAAGGACATAATTTAATCTCCTTACACACCATAGTGGACATCTCAGCACCAAGAGATATCAGAAGTAACAAGAAAACACATTTGAGAAAGGATGATGTCAGACAGACATCTTGAAACAAAACAAGCAATTAGAGACCCAGTTTACTAAATTACCCTTCCCTTATTTGAAATGTAATATCTAGGCATTTCAATGAACTTGTGGGCCGTATACATGAAAGAGATGTGGGTTTTTTCATTTTGAAAACCAGTTTGAATGTCATTCTTTGACTGAACATAGGAATGAAATGAGCAGACATGCTGCTGGCTCAAGAAAACTCAGAAATGGTTCATAAGAAAGAAACAGTGACAACAGTTCTTTGCTTGAGGAACACAAAAGTTAATCTGTTTCTGAATAGTCGGGTGGCACAATCAGCAATATATTCAGTCAAGCTTACACTCCTATGTTGAATGGGCAGTTCCATTTTCCTGGGAACACGCTCACTGCCAAAATGCCAGCATACATGCCGCAGCATCTCTCCCATGCCTGCCAAATGAAAAGGGAAAATGGCTACGACTACACAAATTAACCTGCTATTCATCCAAGTGGTCTGAATCTTTTAAAATGGTTTTTGTTCTTTCTCAAGAGAATTTAATTTTTTTTTTTTTATGTGATTTATTTGTGATGCCCAGGTCTACCTCACTAGACAAAGGTACAATTAAAACTTCTTACAAAAAACAGATATCAAGCCAAAGTACAATTCATTCGAAGACTGACTGTGTCTTCCTATTCAAATCTGCACTCAAAGCTGTTCAGCATCATGACATACTCTCGTATAACTGTCTTAGAGCAGGGTAGCAGATATAGGCCATGTTTCCATTTTCATTCTACCTGTTTGTAAAACAAAAAGACATTGTATCTAAGGACCATCAAAACTGTTTAATAGTAAGAAATCTTCAAAATCTTTTCCATCTAGTAAACACATATTCATTTGTGCCGTATTTACTTATGTCTTTCTGTAATTGTATCAGCATCTGCAGCACCCAGTGTAGTGTGGCAAGGAACTAAAAATGACTGCAGGAATAAAAGCCGTTTCAAAAAGCTGCAGGCAAGGATGATTTTCTCAGGTTAGCTTGCTCACGATAATGTCATTTTTAATGGCAATTCTGGC